AAATATCTTCATTTGTCATATATTATTCAAATAAAGCACTGTCCAATCAGAGGCCTTTCCACAAATCTGTGGAAAATCCATGTGACCAGAACAAGGAATCTTCATTCAACTCCCAGACATTCTCTCACATGCGGCATCGAGAGTAAAGTCTGTACACAGACTACTCAATTAACAATTAAACTTAATTCGTTCAAAACCAACAAGGCAAAGTTTGAATCGCATTAAAGCTGTTACGGTATATCAATACCGATAATTATCGGTTTGTTATAAATACCGATCACTCGATATTGAAATTTTCGATATATCGGAAAATCAATATTTCTTGGTATTATTGACATCACATTTACGTTTGTATATTTAAACATCATATCAAGCTTTTTCAAGTGCTGACTGACGATATTTCAGAAGGACAAAAACGATCAATGTGCAGGAAAATCTGTAAATTAAGGTTAGAGCAATACCTAAAACGTGTTTGTTTATGTAAACAAGTTGCAAGGTGTACTTCGCTTGTTAAAAATAAAAAAGTGAATTTTTAGATCATGAACAATGGTGGATTACAAATGTTTCAGAAAAACAAAAGCTTAGAACAATCTTTGTTTCGAACTTGCAGTTGAATAACATGTTTTGAAACAAATTTCCCGGTCAAAAATATCACCACACATGATTCATCCAGTCCGGTAATCAACGCAGCTATAAATATGCATTTTCAATTTCTAAAGCGGACATTTCACAGGCTACTGATCTCTGAAATTCCTAGCTGATGAAACTGATCACTGACCTCCCACTTTATTGAAAATATCACACACCCAATGAGTCAAAGTTGTTATATCATATAGCTGTTTGGCATCATTTGAGAACAGTGAATTTTGACAATAAAATAACCAAATTTTGCATAAAATTAAGCAAAATGCAATCGCGAAAAAACATCGATATATATACAAATATTCATGTACAGCAATTTGCATCCAAGCACAAAACCGCAACCATTTTCGCGTGTTTGTTTATGTTTGAAAGGGATGTTTACAATTGGAAATGGAATGTTTCACTGCTCATGTGACATGCTCATGTTTTGATGTGCTTTCGTGTACATTTCAGTGTTTCCAAGCTCACAAAATTGTAAGAGCGACCAAACTTGTTTATATTCATACTTTTTGTGACTAGAACGTATTACTATGGGCTTGGAAATATTGAAACATGCACGGAGGCACATCAAAACATGACAGTTACGCTAAAAATAGCTCAAGATTTTTCAATGTGACACGTCACATGAGCTGTGACACGTCACATGAGCAGTCAAACATTTCAGTTTCCAACGGTAAACACCCTGTTTCAAACATAAGCAAACACGCAAAAATGTTTGCGGTTTGTGCTTCGATGCAAATTGCTGTATTTGATCTGTATTATAGCTAGATGAAAACTTAATTTAATCCATTGTTACTGAATTCCGTTCACATTTGAGTTTGTTACAACATTAAAGCACATATTAATTAAATTACGGCGTTACCTGTTTGATTGCATGCATATTAACATTTGATGATCAATCAATGAAAGTCACAGCAAAAGAGAGGCCCACCAAGGGTGTAACGTAGGTCGCTTGTCACTAATTTTGTGGCTGCTTTGTCGCTTGTTTTATTGCAATAAATGTCGCTGTCACTTTTGACCCATAACACAAATCGCAATTTGTCGCTTTTTCCCAGTCAGAAGCTGTCATTAATGTCGCTCTTTTTTAGATAGTCTGTCGCCTCTTTTTAATGGAATGACACCTGTCGGTCATAATCCCTTGGTTGGCCTGATTTTTAATTTTTTAATTTTAATTTTACAAGATTCGCCAAACATAACAGACATAAATAAGACTAATACTTTACAAAATTTACATACAATTCGGGCAGGGACTAGCCACAGAGATAATCTCCAATTATGGGGCCCCTCACAATAAGCTACAATATATAACATTAAAACAAATTATGCTAAAATGTCAACAACATGTCCTCACTAATAAACTATCAAGAGACCGAGTTGAGTGGCATTTGACGCACACGGACTTAAATGTTCTAGGATTGTCCGGGTTGTATATTTGTTCTAAAAGGTTTAAGTAGTAATTGAATAAAGAGATTTTAAAGTAAGCTAATGATCTTGAAGTGTCACGAATATTGCTAGGGAGAATGTTCCATACGCTAGGCGCTCTCACATAGAAATTGTTCTTGTAGCTAACTGTCCTGCATCGAGATACATTAAGAAGAATACCATTGACAGGGTCAGCGTTTCTAGTCGTCCGGGTGGTTGTTCGTATTGACACATTGACATCGTTGCTTAGAATACTCTTGTAAAGAAAAACTAAGTCTAGAAATTCGTGCCAATAGCAGACTGGGAGAATACCGATAACCAGTAGTCGTTCCCTGTATGTTGTGGCTGTTCTGTAAGGAAGGGAAAGGATGAATTTGGTCGCGCGACGTTGAACCCGTTCTATTGACAGTATGTCGCTGACAGTTTGAGGTGCCCACACCTGGCTGGCATATCCTAACTTGCTGCGCACTAAGGACAGGTACAACACCTTTCGCACGTGGATGTTATGCGTGTCGGAGGCTGTTCGACGAATGAAGCCTAGCATTGAGCTCGCTTTTGATGTTATTTCTTCAACCTGTTTCGTCCACTTGAGATCTTTTGTGACAACAATCCCAAGGTCTTTTTGATGACATAGTTGCTTCAGAGAACTATCCAGTAGTTTATAATTTGTTGTGACTGGTTGGCGACTTCTTGTGAAGCTCATTACTCCGCATTATTCATTATTGAGTGATATTGATACTCATCAATTATCATTTCATCAATTACTGTCGTTCCAATTGAAGTGTTGCTCAAATATTGATTCAATACATTACCTCGGGCTGATCAATTCATTTCATCAAGTTCCTCGAGATATTCATACACTTCCTAGTATAATTGTACACTTCCTGTTGAATAGTTTGAATGCACCAATCACCTTTGTTGTTTGTGCAACTAACCAATCATAAATAGAAAGGAAGTGACCAGAAATGATCAAATACTTGGAATTGGCTCTTTCACAGGAAGTGTATGAATATCTCGAGGAACTTGATCAAATGAATTGGTCAGCCCGAGGTAATGTATTGAATCAATATTTGAGCAACACTTCAATTGGAATGACAGTAAGTACGGTGCCAGACTGCATTTTCTCCACCGCGCGGAAGATCTTCCACGCGCATTTTTTATGCTTTCTATATATTTACTATTAAATTTTCGAAAAACTTCTGCGCGCAATTTCCAAACTTTGCAGTTGCTTTAAAGTACAGCGTTTTATAATATCGCCCACCGTACAGCAATATTATAAAACGCTGTACTTTAAAGCAATATAATTTGACATATCTTTCATATATTTCGCATAAACAATCCCATCTCGGATAAAAATGACTAACACACACCTGACCCTAGGTTTTTTTAAAGTTCTTGCACAGGTTAGGACAAAAAATAAGCCATCTTGAATATCAGTGATACCACTATAACCACAATGCAAAGCGCTACGAAAACGTAAGAAAGGGAATCTTCAATTCAAAATTTCTATATTATAAAACCCTGTATTAAAAAGCAATATAACTTTACATATATTTCATACATCACAATATATCAACACAAAAATAATCCCAAATACCTTAAACAAGAGAAACCAGAGGAATTCCAAGCAATTTCTAAACAAATCGATACAGCTGATGCAACATTTATACCAAGATGGAGTATGAAATACAACATAAAGTTTGAGCCAAGTCAAGCTTGAAAAACATCGAATCTCGACCACAAATGCAACCCACAGCTTTCTTTAACGAGTTACAAATACACTGTTGTCCATTTGCCAAAGATTAGAGCTTATATTGGGATAAGATTCTACAAAAATAATGAAAGTTTTTAGGACAAAAATTTTCGTTGAAAGCACGAGACCACGAGCTTCAATCTTTCCCGCGAAATTCCCTGATGCTACCACTTTCAAACAAGAAATATCCTTCCTGTGATTTTCAAAAACACATTCATGGAATCAAAATTCTGATGACTGACAAATAAACCAAATAACTAATTTTATTTTTAACCAAATAACTAAAAAACTTGCATTGCTACATGTGTGGTTTTTTTGATGCATGCTATTCGTGATATTCGGTTTGAATTCAATTATTCAGGAGGTCAATTTTAGTTTCTCCAGTCAGGTTATCTTCAGCCATAGTTAATATACTTCAGCCAATCTACAACACAAGCGCTAATTAGTATGCTTCACTGTTGGAATAAAGCTACGGATGGGTCTGGATCATCTGTTAGAGTGGTCTTATTCGATTTTAAAAAAGCCTTTGACTTGATCGACCATAACATCCTTAAACGAAAGCTCTCCAACTATGACCTTCCGCCGTGCATTGTGTGCTGGATACTCGATTTCCTGACGGATCGTAAACAAAGGGTGAAACTGAGCAACGATTGCTACGCAGAATGGGGAACTGTTCCAGCCGGTGTTCCCCAAGGAACTAAACTTGGTCCATGGCTTTATCTGATTATGATAAACACTGTTGGTGTAGCAGATGTTGACCAGTGGAAGTATGTTGACGATACAACGGTTGCAGAAACTGTGTTGAAGAATGATGCAAGTGCCATGCAAGAGTACGTCGAAGATCTGTCGAACCAGTCCTTAGGGACGGACCATTTGATTTTTGAAGGGGGGGGTGGGTAGAATCCCCAAAAAAATATCGGGCAAGCAATTTGAACTTAAAAAAAATATCGTGCAAGAATAAACGGACGAAAAAAAATATCGAGCAAGACTTTCGAGTGGTAATCCTTATTTGCCATTCGGTGCATTTCCGAATGTAGCCGGGCTGCAGGGTCCAGGAAAATGGCATTTCAGAGACTCTAAATTAAAAAATTTCCTCGGGCCTTCGGCCCTCGCTTTCAGCCCCTCCCAATCAAAAAGAGCTTCCTACGGGCTACGGCCCTGTAGCCTAAATAATGGGAGGACCAGTATAATTCCAAAAATGGTTGTTCTTTATTTCTTTACTCCGACTCCTATGATGAGCATGTACGTAAAACTAGGAAAACTACGATTAAATCACGCGGCCGTAGAAACTAAATAGGTGAAATTTTTATGGGACACGATCAAAGGCGAGGATATAAGAGCGAGAGGTTGAAATTGAGTATAGGAATAGCGTACAGGGGTATGCGTTTCGACCTAACAGTTTTCTTCAGCAGGCTTTTTTAAGAGGAGGGGGTGTAGATATAATTTGAAGAGGAGAAGGAAGGAGAGTTTAGGAGAATTTGAAGAGGAGAAGGAAGGAGTTATTATTATTACAAAATAACTGAAGGTGAAACGAAGGTAAAAACGAAGGTGAAACGATGTAACTACCATACATGTTATTAGTCAAGTTATCCTACCAAAGGCCTTGTTGTTTGCGGGACATTCCAACACTACGCACTTTATTGTTCATCGTTCGTATTGGTGAAGTGAAGCAAATTTGCAGGTCCTTCAATTAAGGGTTAACTTACTCAATGGTATAGTGAGTTTGAATGATTGTGATAAGGATGATCATGTGACTGTAGGTGATTGCATCCAAATATGGTGTTAGTGGTGTAGGAGCTTATAAGACAGGGATAGGGGCGTTTGGCAATTAATCGTAGTTTCCCTAGTTTTTTTTACGTACATGTTCATCATAGGAGTCGGAGTAAAGAAATGAAGAACAACCATTTTTGGAATACTGGTACTCTCATTATTTAGGCTACACAATGTCTTACACCAGTACTTGTCCAATTACCTATTATACACCAAAAAATGTAAAAACAAAAAACTAAAAAATGTATATACATGCATACAAAAAAATATCGTGCAAGTCCTCCGACTGACAAAAAAAAATCGAACAGTGTCAGGAGGCGGAAACAAAATATCGAGCAAACTGAAAATCTACCCCATCAAAAATCAAATGGTCCGTCCCTTATTCAGCAGGCCTTTCGTCGCCTTCCGTTCTTCCCTGATCTCAAATTTCACGCCCGCAAATTATTCCCGCCCGCATCGAAAGGCCTGCGGAGAAGGTAGCACGCAAGGTGAGACAATGTCTTATATCGCCTTTAATATACTTGGTTTTATATTTGTTGAGAATGATAGTATTGGAAATAAAAAATAAAAGAAACTTTATTAAATACAATTGTATTATACTACATTAAAATTAGATAAAAGTTCTTTAAAAGTTTGTTGTTAAAACAGGACCCAGTATTAAAATATTCAATGTTCATATTTGAGTGCATCTATAATCAATACTGCCAACTGCCCATAGATATAGGAGATCTAGATTGCTAACGCATACCTAGCGCAGGCGGGGCCTACATGATAAATCCAAGATGGCGGTACAAGAGGGCAAAAAGACTATAGATTCTATTACGAAAATCAAGATTTTTGCATTTTTTGCCGTCGCATTGTTTTGAAACTTATTCGGTCAAATTTTATGGTAAAGAGAAACGTACCGCGAAGATTTTGAGCATATATATGATTGAATTGGATGAAAACTCGCAAAATTATCCAGCGATAAAAGTTCGTGTGAAATGGTCAGTTGGTCAGTTGGAGCGTTTTATTGCCAGAAATACTGTGCTATGTTAACATCTAGTCTTGTGAATGGTGTTTTATACTTGCATCTTTCATCATCATCTGCTCTGTCCTCATAATTATGAAAAATGAACTGTTATGTACCCCCCCCCCCTCCTTGCTTGTTAGAGAAGTAAACTGATGAGAGCACTGGATAAGGGTCTATCATCTATGGTCTGTTATAATTTGCTTTCTATGCAAATAGTGAGCAAAAATTAAAGCAAAACTGTACAAGTTACATATATAGTACTATATCAGTACTATACACGAACTTTTATCGCTGGATAATTTTGCGAGTTTTCATCCAATTCAATCATAAATATGCTCAAAATCTTCGCGGTAAGTTTCTCTTTACCATAAAATTTGACCGAATAAGTTTCAAAACAATGCGACGGCAAAAAATGCAAAAATCTTGATTTTCGTAATAGAATCTATAGTCTTTTTGCCCTCTTGTACCGCCATCTTGGATTTATCATGTAGGCCCCGCCTGCGCTAGGTATGCGTTAGCAATCTAGATCTCCTATATCTATGCAACTGCCCCAACTGCATTCGATATTTCAATGTTACCAATATCCTGGAGCCGAGGCTCATATATAATATTCCCTATATTAATTCCCTTCATATTACTATTATACGAAGTAGCGCGCTGGCCGGCGGCGTGAATAAATCACAATAAATTAATCACGCCGCCGGCCAGCGCGCTACTTCGTATATAATAGTAATATGAAGGGAATATGAGATTCTCAAAATTGCAGTTTATTTACCATTTGAATTCGCGCGTGTGTCTAAAGATATATTAAGGACTCTTCCACAAACATCAAGGATTTTCAGTAAAAGAACAAATGAAGTGAACGTCTATGAAAACAGGTACAAATATTAGACAAATATACGTAAAAATATTTATATAAATAGCCAAATATCGTTCTGCTGTGCTCCCTTGGTTAGATATGTTGTATACGGTTGTTACAACACAACAGATGCTGCAAATCAAATAGCTTTACATCCAATACCATTTTATGGAGATTTTCGGCTGCAGTCATTAAGGAGAAGGAAACATTGGATAGATTTGGATAAATTGAAGCGAGCCAGATCGGAGCCGTCTCGTCAATTGTCAAAGGCATGTTTGCACAAAGACATGCATTTCATGTCGAGGCTAAAAGAATGCACATTTCCTCGACTGAATGAGATATGAAATTGGGATTAGCGTTTATCTGACGGTACAAACTGCGGTCGAAAGGCAGGAGGACATACAATAATGCCTCTGTAATAATGCTATTAAAACTGCGAGGGTGATTTTATATACACGCAAGGTGAGACAATGTCTTATATTGCCTTTAATATACTTGGTTTTATATTTGTTGAGAATGATAGTATTGGAAATAAAAAATAAAAGAAACTTTATTAAATACAATTGTATTATACTACATTAAAATTAGATAAAAGTTCTTTAAAAGTTTGTTGTTAAAACAGGACCCAGTATTAAAATATTCAATGTTCGTATTTGAGTGCATCTATAATCAATACTGCCAACTGCCCCAACTGCATTCGATATTTCAATGTTACCAATATCCTGGAGCCTCGTAAACATAGTACTGCAGTTATTAGCAGATTAAAAGAACTTTGGTTTCATAGACATTCTGCACCATATCTAGTCCACTGAGTTATTGCATTTACTATTGAATATTAAGTGCTTATGGATGTTATATAACCAAGTGTATATCATGCAATATAAAAGACATTGTCTAACCTTGCGTCTAATTCGCCTTTTAATATATTTTTAATGTAGTATTATACAATTGTATTCAATAGAATCTTTGTAGTGGAGGTACACGCAAGCCTATAAAAGATCATTCAAAATATCTTCTCGACGTTTCGAGCAAAGGCCCTTCGTCAGGGAGCGACGCTGAACAACCACAAGACTTATGTATTTAATAAAGTTCCTTTTATTTTTAATATCCATTACTATCATTCTCAACAAATATAAAACCAAGTATATTAAAGGCAATATAAGACATTGTCTCACCTTGCGTGTATATAAAATCACCCTCGCAGTTTTAATAGCATTATTATATGTCCTCTTGCCTTTCGACCACAGTTTGTACCGTCGGATAAACGCTAACCCCAAATTCATCCCTCATTAGTCGAGGAAATGTGCGTTCTTTTAGCCCCAACATATTCAGAGTGTACAAAAAGTCATCCGCCCTGAAATGCATGTCTTTGTGCAAACATGCCTTTGACAATTGACGAGACGGCTCCGATCTGCTGCTCGCTTCAATTTATCCAAATCTATCCAATGTTTCCTTCTTCTTAATGACTGCAGCCGAAAATCCCCATAATATGGTATTGGATGTAGAGCTATTTGATTTGCAGCATCTGTTGTGTTAGAACAATCGTATACAACATATCTAACAGGCATTTCGAAGCGCAAAGTATACACTAATTTTCATTCACAATAGATATTTATTGTAATACAACACGAGTCGATTCACTTCCGTCCCCGGTGTGACATCACAAACTTGATTCGTACTCAGCCTATTTTCTCCCGGCCATGTCTTGAAAAACCCTATTTTTTTGCATGTTTGATCTAAATTATCTCTGAAAGTATTTATCCGATGAAGGAATGATATATATCATTCGAATTGTCTAATTTTTGCTGATTTTTGGTGAAAAAATGGTATTAATGTCATATGCACTTTAACCTTTCTTCTTACGATGGCACAGTGTTCAAATTAATACTCTATTCAGATTCACCATAATGACTGTCATGTTGTTAATATTCTTTATGTTAATGTGAATAGCACGTGACTGAGTCTGCGCAGAAGATTGGCGCAGTGGAACTCAACATGGCGAACATGTGGTCACGCTGATAGAGTTGTAAAGTTGTTCATATTAAAAGTTGATATTACAAGTTATCACAGTGTAAAGTTTGATTTATTTACATTGGTAGCAGAGAGTGGTTCTTAAAAAGTAAAAGATATGGATAGTAAGTTTATAAATCCACCGAAGTATCATAATGACTATAGAACATGGAAGCAGGAAATCGAGCTGTGGACGAAGGTTACAGGTTTGGCCAAGGCAAAGCAAGGCATTGCGGTTTGTTTAACGCTTGATGGCAAAGCAAAAGAAGTTGGATTAGAATTAGGAGACGATCTCGGCGGCGAAGACGGACTTGGTTATTTGTTAAGAAAGCTTGATACGTTATTTCTCAAGGCCACTACGGAAAGTGATTACAAGGCGTATAAAAATTTTGATACTGTTAGAAAAAAACCTAGTACAAGTATGGCAGAATACATTGTGGACTTTGATTCACTTTACACCAAGATTAAAAAGAGAGAGATGGCTTTACCAGAAGCTGTTCTTGCCTTTAAACTATTGGACGGGGCAGGCTTGACAGAAAATCAACGACAATTAGCACTAACTGCTTGTTCTGACCTGAAATATGAAAGCATGAAGTCTACACTAAAAAGAATTTTTGGTGGTGCATTGTCAGACAGTGCCAGCGGTGTGACAGGAGATGAAGCAATCTCGATGAAACAAGAAGCAATGTATTCAGCAAGCAATAGATCCCAAGTTAGAACATCTCTGATAAAAGATAGATCTAATCGTAAAACAAATCCGTTAAACCGATTTGGTCAACCAACTAGATGTAGAATTTGTCAGTCAATTTTTCACTATGCTACAAACTGCCCTGACAAAAGTGAGAGAGTTCATTTATCAGAGGATGTACCACCATCTGAAGAAGGCGTGGAATCAGTAAATATCACATTGTTGACCCAAAGTGAGATATTGATAGCGGAGTCATATGGCACTGCGATTCTTGATACAGCTTGCACAAAAACTGTCAGTGGAAAGTCGTGGATACAGAACTTTGTTGAGAAGGCTGGTAAAGTGTTATCAACTCAGAAAAGTCATAGACCTTCCAAGTTTGGTCATGGATCATTAATATACTCTGACAAAGTAGTTACAATTGCAGCAAAAATTGGGAAAACAAATTGCAAAATAAAAGTGGAGGTGGTACCGATTGAACTGCCCTTACTGTTAAGCAAAGAGTCGCTAAAACGAGCTGGGGCAGAATTAGATATACCTAATGATGAAGCGATCCTGTTTGGTGAAAAACTAAAACTAGAACTGACTTCATCTGGTCACTATTGTGTTAGTATAATGGGAAATCAAAACAAAGATGAAGTTGAAGATGTTATGTATTCGAAGACAACGTTTCAAGGTATGAATGATGCTGAAAAACGGAAGAAACTCTTAAAACTACATTATCAATTTGGACATGCCAGTGCAATGAAACTTATTCAATTACTTAAATCAGCAGATATTAAGGATGAACAATTATTTATTATCCTACAGGAAGTAGTGGATGGATGCGACACATGTCAGAAGTTCAAGAAATCTCCTGCAAGACCAGTAGTTGGTTTACCTCGAGCCAGTGACTTCAATGAGACTGTTGCTGTTGACCTTCATCAATTGGGAAGTAATATATGGTATTTACATATAATAGATGAATTTAGTAGATTAAGTAATGCATGCATAGTATACAACAAAGAACCTGAAACATTTATTGAAATGTTCATTAAGCATTGGGTTTCTGTTTATGGGGCTCCCAAAAGATTAGTTAGTGATAATGGGGGTGAATTTAACAATCATTTAGTAAGAGATATGTGTGAAAATTTTGGCATTGAAGTTATAACAACTCCTGCATATAGTCCATGGAGTAATGGTACATGTGAGAGACATAACTTGATATTAACTGAAATATTAGTTAAGCTTAGGGAAAGCCATGCCTATGACTGGGAAATATCCCTCTGTTGGGCAGTTGCTGCCAAGAATGCTTTAAATAATGTTAATGGGTTTAGCCCATACCAAATAGTCTTTGGCAGAAATCCCAATTTGCCTTCTGCTTTTAGTGACAAGCTACCTGCACTTGAGGGGCAAACAACTTCTGATAATGTTGCTTCACACATTAATGCAATGTATGCTGCCAGAGAAGAATTTGTTAAGGCTGAACGGTCTGAGAAAATAAGGAGAGCATTGCGTAAGAATACCAGAAATACTGATGAGGTATATAAGTCTGGTAACAAAGTATATTATAAAAGACCGGATGAAACAAAATGGAAGGGGCCTGGTGTTGTTATTCGAGTAGAAGGGCCAGTTGTGTTTGTGAGACATGGTGGGTCTCTAGTGAGAGTTCACAGATGCAGGCTACAAAAAGTGTGTAGTGATAATAAAGTAGTTTCTAGTGGTAATACTGAAGCTGTGAGTTCACCTAGATCTTCAGTTGATGAAGTTGAAAACACTTCAAATGATTCTTGCAAGTTGAATTGTGACACATCTGCAGAGACAGGGTCTCTTAGCGAAATCTCTGCAATTGCTGAACTACATAAATTTGACTTGCTGCCTTCTCTGAAACTTGGCTAAACTCCACTATCTCAAACGAGTCAATCTTAATGTCAGGGTTTAGTGCTCCACTAAGAAAAGATCGAAATTCATCTCGCGGTGGAGGTGTTTCTCTGTACGTCGCGGATCACTTGCCGTTCGTCAGACGACTTGATTTAGAATCTCCATTTATCGAGTTGTTATGGGCTGAAATAGCTGTCAATCGAGTGAAAATACTTTGCGGAGTGTGTTATAGGCCTCCTAGCCAAACCTCTGATCAATTAGATTTATTTGTAAATTATTTACAGGCCAGTCTCGACTCTATTAATATGTCAAATAATTTTTCCACTATCATAATTTTAGGTGACTTTAATGCCCATTTTGATTTCGCCAGTGCTGCGTCACTTAATACTGATGTCGGTGTCAAGCTATATAATTTTTTGGTAGGTAATAACTTATTTCAATTAATTGAAGAACCTACTTGTGTTACATTGACCGGGGAAACTATTCTTGATTTAATCATTACGGATTCTCTTGGCTATTTTACTGGAACTTTGAGTCCTCCCTCCAATTGTTATCACAATATTGTTTATGCTAACTTGAATATCTCTTCAAGAAAACAATGATCATTTAAAAGAACTGTTCGTAATTATAAAAATGCGAATGTTAATGCCCTCAATGCGGCACTATTAAATGCTAATTGGGGAGATGTTTTTTCTAATCAGTCAGATTCTATTGATGTTGTTTAATTTATTTAAATCAATTCTTGATGCCTATATTCCCTCTAGGGAAATTACTCTTCGGCCCAAAGACAAGCCCTGGATGAATGGCTCAATTCATCCAAATATTCAAAGATGTGATCGTTTTCTTAAACGTTTTACAAACATTAAAAGTGCATTGTCTCGGGAACTTACCGCACTCAACGAAATCTCGTTGTTAAATTAATTAGGAAAGCGAAAATGGAACACCGACGTAAAATAAATACTTTACTAGCGGATCCATCAACATCAACCAAAAAGTGGTGGGGCATTTCAAAATCTTTGTATGGTAACAAGTGCTGTTACTCGTTACCTGATTTAATTGACAACAACATCGTCATTTCAGATTCACAACACAAGGCTCAGGTTTTTAATGATTATTTCGTTGGCCAAACAATTATGCCTGATACTGCGGATATTTCCTCATTACCTAGTTCACCTCATAATTTATCAATTATTGTTGTTAATGAATATCAAGTGTTAAATATTTTATATAACTTAGACATTTCTAAAGCATGCGGTTTTGACAATATTAGCAACAAAGCACTCAAGTCTTGTGCTGGTGGTATTTTTAAATCTTTTACTTTGCTTTTATATATTTATCACTTTTGTTAGGACAATATCCCAGTTGTTGGAAAATTGCAAATGTTATACCCATTTTTAAAAGAGAATCGGCAAATGAAAACGAATTATCGTCCAGTTAACTTGTTAGTTAGTTTATCCAAAGTATGTGAAAAAGATGTCTTTTTAGACGTGTATAATTTTCTTAATAATACAGGTTTTTCCTATCGTTTTCAGTCAGGTTTTTGACCAGGTGATTCCACAGTTATGCAATTCATTTTTGTTGTTAATAAAATTTATCAAGCATTAGGAAAAGGTAATGAAGTACGTGCAGTATTTCTTGATATTTCCAAGGCATTTGACAAGGTTTGGCACAAAGGTTTATTAACCAAACTTAAAAGTATTGGCATAAATGGCCCCTTACTTCAATGGTTGGAAAGTTATTTGACTGAAAGATATCAAAGAGTAACCATTGAGGCAACGAGCTCTGACTGGGCACGTATTGAAGCCGGAGTACCCCAAGGATCTGTTGTTGGACCATTGTTATTTCTGATTTATATCAACGACATAGCTGATGTTTCTTCCACTTGTTTTCTTTTCGCTGATGATTCCTTACTATTAGATGAAGTCATATCGCTGATTGACACAGCTAACAAGCTAAATAACAATCTTGATTCTATATCAATGTGGGCTGATCGATGGCTGGTGACCATGAATGCTAACAAGACAAAAACATGATATTTTCTTCCACGTTAAACAAGCCCTTGGCCAACGAACCAATTGATATAGTTGATCAGCATGATCACCTGAGCGTTACTTAACTTAACTTACTTAAACCAATGAAATCTGTCAGAATTGCATCCTGATAATGTCAGTTCTAGATCAAATCGTAGTTTACGTGCCAATGATAATCTGATTGTCCCTTTTGCTAGAACCGAACGTTACAAAAAGTCATTTTATGTTTCCTCTGTGAATCTTTGGAATAGTCTTCCAGTGATATTCGTTCTAATCGTTCAATTGCCGTTTTTAAAAAACAGTGTGACTCAGCTACACAAGTTCGTAGCTCCCAATCCGCTATATTATATAGGTGATCGTCTACAAGCTATTTTGCATACTCGTTTGAGATTATCTAATAGTACATTAAACTACGATTTATATATTTAAAAAATTGTGTTTCTTCCTCTTTTTGTGCATGTGGTTTTCCAAAAGAAACTACAGCTCATTTCTGCTGTTATGCTGCTATTCGGAATACTTTGCTCACCTCTGCTGCTTCCTTATTCGGTGCAGCGTGGACAGGTGCTGGTAAGGGTACACATCTTAAGTGGTTACTTTATGGTGTCGGGGATGTTTCTATTTATACGAATATTAATTTATTCTTAAAGTGTCCAAAAATTCATTATTGGTTCAGGTTGTTTCACCCGTAGCAGTCCTTGACTACGTTGCCCAGTGTGTTTATGTTAATTGTGTGTTTGTCCAAAATTTGTGCTTCCTCTATCAGCTGGGTTTTTTTTTGCAAATATGTAATGTCAAGAGCACCCCACCAGTTAAGCCTTTAGTGGCTTTTCGTGCAATTGCCAATTTTTTAAATTAAATAAAATATTGTTTATAGAAAAAAAATTTTGTGTGTAAGGGCCAGGGCGTGGAAGCCTGCATTCACACATAAATGTGATTGTGTAAGGTTTCCTATCATGTTTGTCGGATAGATGGTAGGCTGCCTTTCAACCCCAATCCCCCCTTCCCCCCCCCATATTTCCATGTTCCCTTGTGTTCCTTTAAATAAAAATTGAAAAGAAGTCTTACTGAGGAAAAATTGCAAAAGTTCTAGAGTTGTAATTTGGCAACGAATATACTACCTTTGGTGATCATGTATAATCTGGATTTGTGAAATAAGTAAATCTACCTTGAACATGTGCACAAATTCAACATATGGGATACATGCATGCGGTCAAGGCAATCAATCGAATGATCATGCATTGTTATTTGGGAAAACACGAGGCCAACACATTTTTGCAAGGTGAACGTTTTCTTGTCAATAAACAGTTTTATTTTATGGGAATACACATGTCGTGGTTGCTGCACGGTGAAATCATGACAAGGTAGGGAAGCCTTTTTATGAGTGTTATACGATTTTACGTAGCGATGGCGTCAAGTTCGAAGGCTGATTTAGCATGCATGGATTAATTTCTTACATAAACAATGCAAACTTTTGAATTTTAAGACCATTTAGTCCAATTTTTTATGGCAAAATTGCTTACTTTTATTTCTGTATTTTGATTTACAAGGCAAAACAAAGATTGCATAACAATGACGAAAAGCATTCAGCATTTCAATCTATTATAAACTTAAACAAAGACCAACAAACAATAGTTATAATTTTACAGATGCAGCATATAGCTCGTTTTGAAAAGGAAAGGTCCAAAAGTGTACTCTACTTAAAAGCAGTGTATTACCAATGAATTGAATAAAACCGATTGAACAATATGTTTTGTATTTATATAAGTTCATCAAGTTCGTCATGGATCATTGCCGCTAAGACCACTTTTATCTGATTATACGAGACTTCAGCATCGAGATCATCTTTGATTTGTCTTAGGGTGGGAACACCATCTTCGATATGCCCAGCTATTCTGTCAATTAATGGCTTGTGAACATTCAATTCACTTGCAAGTTTCTCAACTGATATGGGGGCTCCAGCACAATAGGCGTCAAGTATGTAGACTTCGGCAGTCGGAGTTTCTACTTGCAGGAACTTTGCAATAGCTTTTATAGAGGAATGGCTTTTCATAAACATTGGCTACTTGAATCTTTCTGTTAGAGGGTCTATTTTTTCCATATAACGCCTTTAAACTTTTATGCTGTTGAAAATAACAAAAAAAGCGTGCTCGACAATTGAATATCTTGCAGGAAAACAAATGCATTTTTCGTGACTAAAATATATAAAACCAGTATAAGAGTTTTAATTTTGCTTATGTTTTACGTGTATTTATCCAAAGACTTTTTCATTAGTGCTTATATACCAAAATATGTACCTTTGAATGTTTGCATGAAGTTGAAGGCATTTGGCTCTCCATTTCTATAGTTTATCTGTGAAAATAGTTGGTTGCTGTGTCAGGCATGTTTTTGCATAATAAATTCAGTGTTTTATTAGGTTTTATGAGCATTACTTTAACCAAGCGTGCATGCATGTTGTTTTTGGTGTGTTAGCTACTTAAATTTGAAGTGTTTTGCTTTAAATATAACATCTTTTTGCTCTACATTGTTTTTGTCTTGATATTTTTCCTTTTGGTATAAAATTTGAGCATTTTTACAAGGATGTTTTGTGCAAATTTCCTCTAAATATTTACATGTATTGTTGTTTTGCAACATGAAGTCAAGTTCATATAGCGGTTGTATTTATATACTCTGTGAATGGCGTAATTGACAAGAAATGCTTTTAAAATGAATTCTATGCAAATAATTAAAATACCATTCAGAAAAACAAGTATAGTACTTACCTCTATGACTTGCAACTTTTCTACATATTTTTTTTTTTGGTTGTTTGTTTTCCCGCCTTTAATTCGTATTGTAAAAGCAAACTTTGGGTTGGCAAAGCTTAGCTTATGAATGACCTGTTATATACCTCAATGTCCCTCTGTAGCAAGAAAGCTTGGTTACCAAGTTTTGAGCTTTTTTCACATAACGTACGCGAGTTGATAAAAAATCTCTTAATATTAAAGATTGTCAAAAGCACCTGATTGGTCTTATCGGCCTCAACTTGCAGCTTGGGTCAGAGCCGCCGACGGGGAGGGCAGGGCAAATTGCCCCGGGGCCCCACCTTAATAGTGAGGGACCCTTACGGTAGCTCCACTCGTAGTCAATGTTTGTAAATTGCATAAAGATTTAGTCTCGATTTACATAATTACTTCGCCAATGAACTCATAAGATGGGTCGTTTTATAAGGAGGATAAAACATTCGCATCCGATCTTTATCTGACATACAAACTCTTGCCTAATTCGGCTCGATTTTTTAGTACATAAAACTTTTTTCCGTATTGATATACACAAGTGAACATAGTGAAAAAAGCCTGGTTAATTATTCATGAGGAAATGACAAAATATGTTAATTCACACAAACTGTAGCTTAAAAACATTTATTTTAAAAATTTCTTTGCCAATGAACTCGTCAGATGGGTCGTGATCAGATATAAAGGACTTGAGCTGCGCTCTCTGCCTGCTCGTTTTAGTTAAGTAGTACATTAACACGGAAAATTTTTATGTTTGTTAAATATAACACATGCTATAATATGATTGGAAAATTTACATGATCCAACGGTTTATATAATGAAAGACTTTGGGTACACCAAAATAATAACCGGAATTTATACAGAAAGAATAAGCATAATAATGTATAAATTTTAATAGATTCTTGTTAAAACATTGTGTTATTTGATTTTAATACAGGAATAAAAATTATTAATTAGGCTTTTATCAATGTCTTTAAACTAACTAACGAACATTCATGTGTGTTTCTGCGACTCACTCTATGACTAAACTATTAATTTAATTAATATCACTATTGGATAAAGTTGAACTGTAAATTAAACTAAGTATTACCATTTTCATCTCTGCACTTTTGTAGTGGGACGATGTGATTTCGTATGCCAACCCCACTCAAGGAACACCAGAGGATATGAATTGGGGAAATATTTGGCGGAATATGTAATGGTATCACCTCAGTATTATACAAATCCATTCCAGGTGCATTACAATGCTGTATGATTCTCCGCTGCAATGTATCTGCCATTATAAGAACTTGTAGATATCCTAATAAAGGGGACATGCATGTGATAATCTTAACATGTCGTCTAAAACAAATCAAAAGTATGTAGAAACAAATATAGTTATATAAAAAATCTAAGCTAACCAATATAAATTAGTTTCAAGACATTTTATATTTCACTTCAAGACAAATTAGACATTAGAGTCTAAACTTATAAACTCTATTGAAAACGAATTTCTAAGTTAATATGGGACTTAGGCAGTGGTGAGAGCAAGCGCCTTTTGCCCCCGAGATTGTGCCTGATCCTCATATCGGACTGGATTAGCTCTCAGCGCAAGTTAGGATGATAAGCTCCCACTTACTACTATTACTACACACCAATCATTTAGGTAACACGCACCCGTGTAACAACCATCGATAATGGTTCGCATCACCTCTTGTATATACACATGCATAAACTTATCCTCTTCGGACAAGTCTTCACTCATGGTCGCCAATATTCCATCTTCTGTGATTGTATGCAGGAACAGGTCAAGGTCATTGTTAATCAAATACTATTTCGAAAACAGTAAAAATATATGTGCAGTAGACAATACATTATTTAAAAAAAAAATTAGAATTAAGACACAAACCAATACTACCAGTCTGCCAGTATATATACTAATAGCACATCATGCCATCTTTGATCCATTTTAGTACTAATGTTACATACGTGAATATTCTTTTGATAATGCTGCTCGTTCGAACAACCATGAATAACCACAGCGAGTTTAAATAGAAGGTGGTCATCCTCACTTCCAGTTATTTCTTTCGAAATTTACCGAAACAGGCAATTCCCATCTCCTGTAACCTTTACTGGTTCCAAACCTTCTTTTAAAACTCCTTTCAGGACATCACAATGCACACTATGGTAAAAGACAAAGCAATAAACAAGAAACAGACAATACAGTAAAGGAGAAACCTGCTTGCGTTTTGAATGTGAGCTTTAATTTATGGTTTGCTTTATCTATATATGATATTGAGCACTCTTTATAGTATTTCATGAAACAAAACGTATGGCGGTACTTAAGTAATATATTGATGATACTTTATTATGATCATATGAATAGGATCGCACCTTTTCTCAACATCACAAGTCTGTATGTACTGCTGCTCTTCAACTGGCTGCTTGTATGATGGTAGCAATAGCCCCTTCTCTTTCACCTTATACTGACCGCTACCTCTCTGACCATGCTTCAGTTTTCTGTGATATTCAATTTGATAAGCCATCACTGACTGTTAAAAGTGTAACTTATAGGAAATGGAAATCAGTAGATGTGCCTTCTCTTAACCATGATATCGCTATGTTGGAATTATGCACGAATCCTCCAAATGATCTAGATGAATTAATTGCTTGTTATAATAACACTTTGAAGGCACATTTCGATAAATATGCACCACCTAAAACAAAAACGATAACAGTAAGAGCGCGGGTGCCTTGGTTTAATGAACAGCTTAGGAAAGCAAAGCATGAAAGACGGAATGCAAAGAGGAAATGGGGAGTGTCTAAGTCAGATGTAGACTTTGTTAATTTCAAAGGCAAGCAAAACTTAGTTAACAGACTCATGTGTAAAGCGCGTACAGAATATTATACGAGTTTCATTGAGGAGAACAGTGGTGATCAGAAAAAATTGTTTAATGCAAGTAAACGCCTGTTTGGTCAACATCATGATGATGGTCTTCCTCCTAATTTAAACTGTGAAGCTTTTGTTAGTGACATGGGAAAGTATTTTGTACAAAAGATTGGAAACATACGGAGAAAACTAGATAATAACAAGGTGCATGCCTCATCTAGATATTTGCAGAATACTTCTGTTCCACATGCCGTCGAGGAGTCCGTGCCAAAGTTTTCGGAGTTTAGTGCCCTTACTGAACTTGATGTAAAAACTCTAATTGGTCGTGCTGCATTGAAGACCTGTAATTTAGATCCAATGCCATCAAAGTTGGTTTCCCAGTGTGATGCATTGTTTCCCATCATAACACGAATTATCAACCTCTCTTTACAAACTGGCCAGTTTCCACAGTTATGGAAAGAGGCACTTGTCCATCCACTCCTAAAAAAAGCTGGGTTTGGAAGCCATTTTCAAGAATTTTAGACCGATATCCAATTTAACATTTGTGTCAAAACTTGCAGAGAGAGCTGTGTTTGAACAGATGCATGTTCATATGGTAGATCATGATTTGTATCCACCAGGACAGTCCATCATATCGGAAAAACCACAGTACTGAAACTGCACTGCTGAAGGTGAAAAATGACTTACTGATGAACATGAACAAACAACATGTTTCACTCCTTGTTTTTCTGGACATGAGTGCGGCCTTTGACACAGTAGATCACGGTATTATGATAGAGCGTTTATCATCTAAACTAAGATTTTCCGGTACAGTAATCAGTTGGTTCCAGTAATACCTATGCGGGAGATCTCAGTGTGTCACTGTTTGTGGTACTGTCTCTGATAGGTTTGATGTGGCCTATGGCGTTCCTCAGGGATCTTGTTTAGGACCTCTATTGTTTACAATTTATGTGAGTAAACTGTGTGATATCGTTCAGAGGCACTTACCAGACGTTCATTGCTATGCCGATGATTCACAGTTGTATGTTGCATTTAGACCTAAAGTCGAATCTGAGCAATCGGATGCTGTCACAGCAATGGAACGATGCATTGAAGACATTAGGAAATGGATGAGTGAAGACAAGTTGCTTTTGAATGATGAAAAGACTGAGTTCCTCCTTATCGGAACTAAACAACAACTCGCCAAGGTTAACCTCGATCACATTACTGTTGGAACCACTGATATTGCTCCTCAACCTGTTGCCAAAAATCTCAGGGTATGGATGGTCTAACCTTACCATGAGTACACACATTTTAAGAACTAGTTCCTGTGGGTTTTATTTCTTATATAACATAAGACGTATCAGAAAATATCTTACCAGAGAATTGACTGAGACATTAATACATGCATTCATATCAAGTCGTTTGGACTATTGCAACAGTTTGTTGTATGGACTACCCAATTGTCAGCTGGCTAAGTTACAAAGAGTGCAAAATGCTGCTGCACGTCTAATATTTCAGGAATCGAAGTATTGTCGAATTACACCTCTCTTGAAGAACTTACATTGGCTACCCGTCAAATATCGTATTAACTTTAAAGTACTTTTACTTACGTTCAAAGCCATTCATGGAATGGCTCCACAGTATCTAAGTAACCTTCTCAAGAAATCTAATAGATACAGTCTTCGTTCTAGCAATACTTTATTACTTAGCACTCCGTCCCTCAAGTCATTTAAGACTTTGGGAGATAGGGCATTCTGTATGGCTGCCCCAGCGTTGTGGAAAAGTCTACCATACTCTATTAGAAATTGTAGCGCTGTAAATAATTTTAAACAATTAGTTAAGACGTTTTTATTTCGTCAAGCTTTTGATTAGCTTGGAACGGTTTTTTAGTGTAATATATTTGTAAAATTCTTAACTTCTGTAATGCGCATTTGAAAATTGTATGGTTGATAAATGCGCAATATAAGCTAATAAATTATTATTATTATTACATATCAAAATGATGATTGATAACACAACTGCTGTTTCTGTCATACATAATATGGGTACCTGTCATAGTGACCCATGTAACTCAATTGCCCTGTCAAATTTGGACACTGTGTGAGGAAACTTGTATTTGGCTTACAGCAGCCCATATTCCAGGCAAAGAAAACGTTATGGATGCTCAATCCAAAGTATTTATCTCAGGCATTAGAAGGGATACACTTCACTCCTGTGATTGATTTATTTGCGCCCCTCATTAATAAGCAATTTGACCAGTATGTGTCCTACAGACCAGATCCATTTGCTAGCGACATCGATGCATTTACTATACCCTGGGCAGATACAAATTTCTACTGTTTTCCTCCATTCAGTTGTATACTCAGAGTTGTAAGAAAGATCATACACGACAGAGCCAGGCGAGTTCTAGTAGTACCACAATGGCCAACACAGTCATGGTACCCTATGCTCTTACCAATACTGGCGCAACCACCGGTTGTCCTTTCACCACCTCAGAATCTGTTACTGCTGCCGTCCAAGCCAGCGCAGAGACACCCTCTACACAAGAAGCTAAGACTAGCTATTTGTCTTGTATCAGAGGAAAATTACAGGTAAGAGGGTCCTCTACAGATACGATTGACATCATTTTGAGTTCTTGGCGTGAAGGTACACAATCTCAGTACCAGTCTGTTGCTAAGAAATGGTTTGAATTTTGTGAAAAGAATCATTGTGATGTTGTTTCTACTCCTGTGCCTTTAGCAATGAGTTTTCTCTCTGAATCATTTCATTATGGCTTATCATACAGCTATATTAACACAGCTAGAAGTGTTTTGTCTTCTTTTTTACATGTTGATAGTCATATAGTGTTTGGTCAATTACCCATTGTGAAAAGATTCATGAAAGGTGTATTTGAAAAACGACTAGATATAGTTCGACTTTGGATGTGAATGTTGTATTCTCTTATTTTAGGAAGCAAGAGCCTGTGAATTTGCTTTCCCTGAGAGATCTCAGTCATAGGTTTGCATTCTTATTGTGTCTACTTAGTGGTCAAAGATGTAAGACAATTTATAATTTCTCATTGGACAATATGTCCATTGAAGATAGTAAAGCCATGTTTATTATAACTGAAAAATTGAATCATACTTGGGCAGGTAGACATCAACCTCCATTGGAATTCTTAGCTTATACGATTGATCAAAAACTATGTATTGACACTCATTTGAAAGTATACCTTGACAAGACAAAGTCTTTACGAAATGATGAAAAACAGTTATTTATTAGTTGTATACGACCTCACAAGGCAGTCTCGCCTGAGACCAATCTCTAAATGGATCAAGAATTTTATAGCAGTTGCTGGTATTGATATATCTGTTTACAAAAGCCACACTACACATGCAGCGTCTATGTCATTCCTTGTTGGGAAACAGTTTGATATTAAGGATATTATAGGTGCAGCAGGTTGGACTAAAGAAGGAACGTTGCACAGGTTTTATCATGGGGACATTGTTTCAAATTTTAACTTTGGTAGTGCTTTATTAAATGCTAGTGTATAAGATCATTTATGACTTTGTTGAATATATTGTTTACAATTAGTGTTATTCTTGTGTTCTTGCTCGATTGGATATAATCCCCCAGCTGAGAGCGTACTAATTCCTAAAGGGTACTAAATCTAAAGTTCATCAATTATCGCGGGTGTGGGTCACCAACAGTGTTGGGTGGGTAGTCATCCTCACTGATCTCAAAAATATGGCGGACTGTCATGAATAGCGGACACTGATTGGTCCAATTTAATGTTTGCATTATAACGACTGCATCATGACAGCGAAATAGCAAACATTTCTTGATTTGATGATTGATAAATTTCTTGCAAATATATTTCATTTTTTATTTGTTGTGTTGGTGTAGTGTACTCAGGTGAATAAGATGCTTGTGATGTTACTCTGAGTGCGTATCCACACCGGGCAGGCTTGAAAAATATGCCTGGCCACGGTGGGATTCGAACCTACGACCTTTGGAATACTAGCCCAATGCTCTGCCAACTGAGCTACGCGGTCAGGTCGGTTCGAGATGCGATATTTCGGAACTGAGTCTAGTTCCTTTGATATCAATGTAATCCAATAATTATGATATTTGTTGTGTTGGTGTAGTGTACTCAGGTGAATAAGATGCTTGTGATGTTACTCTGAGTGTGTATCCACACCGGGCAGGCTTATCTAGATGCTTGTGATGTTACTCTGAGTGTGTATCCACACAGGCCGAAATATCGCATCTCGAACCGACCTGACTGCATAGCTCAGTTGGCAGAGCATTGGGCTAGTATTCCAAAGGTCATAGGTTCGAATCCCACCGTGGCCAGGCATATTTTTCAAGCCTGCCCGGTGTGGATACACACTCAGAGTAACATCACAAGCATCTTATTCACCTGAGTACATTACACCAACACAACAAATATCATAATTATTAGATTACATTGATATCGAAGGAACTAGACTCAGTTCCGAAATATCGCATCTCGAACCGACCTGACCACGTAGCTCAGTTGGCAGAGCATTGGGCTAGTATTCCAAAGTCGTAGGTTCGAATCCCACCGTGGCCAGGCATATTTTTCAAGCCTGCCCGATGTGGATACACACTCAGAGTAACATCACAAGCATATTTCATTTTTGCTTGCATTTTTGCAAGATTTTGTAAATTTCAAAAGCTCTCTCAGCATGAAACTGCAAAAGAATTGGCTAAAAGAAGGGACCCGATGTTAACAAAGGTAAGTTTGTTTTAAATATTGATTTTATAATGCCTCTTTAAAACCTGCGTATATGAAACAACTAACCAAGATAGCATATAATTTCAGTGTATCTTTAATTAAGATTGATTCCCTTTTTTATGATATTGAATTTTTTAAATAAAAAAAGAAAGCAAAGTTATTTGCAAGCGAGAATTTGAAATCATTTTATTGCAAACTCAAGGACAAGGTTTATCGATAAAGCCATTTTAAAAGGCAGATTAGTTTTTAATAAAAAGAACACTAGTGACTTTAAAACATTTTGCGAAGCATTTGTGGTTGAATTTTACCTTAAATTGAAGCTTATATTACGAATAATAACATACCTGACATATATATGTTGGGAAATTAATAATTTTGTAATTAAAAGTGATATTTTTAGGCGATTTTTCATTTGTAAGAATATTCTTAAAAAATTATCGTGTTACCATGACAACTACTTTAGATACTTCATGTTCGAAAAATACAATGGTTTTGTCAGCAAGGCGAGGGTTGCTGCATGCATGTATTTTCTAGTGTTAGTACAATGACAGCTCTGAAATCTCGTACAACTCTGTAATGACTTCCACTGATGACGAAGTAGAATTGGAAATTAAACAAGACTTACCTTAAGTCGAATTTTGATTGTAATTCTACGAGTCATCAGCCAGGAGTGGAGGAGTTGTACACCCACCCTATTACTTCCCTCCCCATACAACTCCTCCACTTGTCATTGAACAAATATTAATGCTCTAAAGACTGACTTGTACATGTGTGGTACTGTCTCTCATACAACTCCTCCACTCCTGGCTGATGACTCATAAAATTACAATCAAACTTCGACTTAAGGTAAGTCTTGTTTAATTTCCAATTTCATTAGTTTATAGTATATACTGGGGTTTAAAACATGTTCTCTTATAGTGTGTTTCAAAACGTTAATGGTTTTCAACAGAGATGGTCAAGCAAACCAATCAACATTTTCCAAGATAATAAGCAAATGTTGATTGGTTTGCTTTAAAACATGACGATTTTCACTTAAAACCACGTCTAATGGCACATGTAGCTTGCAAATAGCAGTATGTCTGCTGGTATACTAAGCATAGTAACACAAAACATGTTGGCTAAACGTGCTGCCTCTTACCACTGAGTTAAGCATGTTACTGCAGGTCAAGAACACTGGAGTTACTTTGGTTGAGTTACTTCATTGCACTTATCAACTCATGTAAGTAGAGTTTGGTTGGTTCTCTCCTGTGCTTCGAGGGTTTTTCTCCTGGTACTCCGGTTTTCTTCCTCCCTCACAAAAACTAACTTGGGCCACCACTGTCTCTAGTTAGCTTAAAAAGTTCTATAAAAACTGGGATTCTTTAAATTTAGCTTTTAATTAAGCAGGTATTTCTTTCGAAGAACACTACAGTATATCATCAGCAATGAAAACAAAGTTGACCTGACAAGTAGTTATTAATTAATTAAACACATACTGTAGATGTCAAAACTCAAACCGAATAATTATTTCACGCTTTCACCAGGTTATTTCACTCCATCTACAATGTAAGACCAGACAGTTTTACTCATCAAGGGCACAGAATAAAGAAACGAACCAGAAGGGACACTCCTTTGATGTTAGACGGCCGCGCTGACATATACCTGCATACACCCGCGAGCAAGCGGCGGCCATGTTCTTAGGTAGTATAGTGCGAGAATTTTACTATAAACAATATGGCGAAAACCGCACTGTGATGATTATTAAAACTGCTCCTTTTGGAATATAAGTGGACTATTTTTGTCTGTTTTATGAATATTTTGAAGAATAGGTAAGTGACTTTTTATTTATCAAGTCTGGTAGCATAATTATTTCTTTTTGGCACAATTTAGTTGCCTCTTACAAGTTTTCTTAGGTCATATTAATTTAGACTCCCTCTCATAAACACAATGTATGTCTTGCTGCAATAGAAAAAAGTTTGTACTCTATAATGTCTACTTATAAATTTACTAGAAAATACATGCCTGCAGAAACCCTCGCCTTGCTGACAAAACCATCGTATTTTCCGAACGTGAAGTATTTTAAAGTAGTTGTCATGGTAACATGATAATTTTTTAAGAATATTTTTACAAATGAAAAATCCCTTAGAAATATCACTTTTAATTACAAAATTATCAATTTCCCAAACATATATGTTAGGTATGTTATTATACGTAATATAAGCTTCAATTTAAGGTAAAGTCAACCACAAATGCTTCGCAAAACGTTTTAAAGTGTTCTTTTAATATAGAACTAAAATTAACTGCCTTTATCAATAAACTTTGGGTTCGAAATAAAATTATTCCAAATTCTCCTATATGCAAATAACTTTGCTTAGTATAATAAAAAGGGTAATCAGTAAAGAAACACTGAAATAATATGCTGTCTTGTTTCATATTTATACGCAACGATCGACTTTTAAAGTAATTACAGTATATTAAAAGCAAACAATGCATCAATATTTAAAACAAACTTACCTTCGTTAACGTCAGCACCTTTACTCCCTTCTTTTAGCAATTCTTTTGCCTTTATTTCATCAAAAATCTTTTGAAATTTACAAAATCTTGCGAAAATGAAATATATTTGCAAGAAATCATCAAAATATCAATTTCGCTTTTGTCATGCAGCCGTATAATACCAATTTTAAATTGGACCAATCAGTGTTGGCTATTCATGACAGTCCACTATATTATGAGATCAGTGAGGATGACCACCCACCAAAACACACACAGTGACCCACGCCTGCTATTATTGATGAACTTTAGACTTCGCTAATGGTTTCGTTTCCCCCGGGTGTAAATAGCCGGGGAGGAATTAGTACCCTCGCACAGCACTTAGCGCCGTTGGGTCGGGGATGAAACCAAAAGCATTCCTATTAAAAAAAAGTAATTTCTTACCTTTCAGCATTCAAGGGAAATCGAAAAAAAACAAGGGATTTGTCCCGTAATTTATTGTTGGAGCAGTTGACTGCAGAACACCAATGCAAGCCTGTTATTTTGTCCTTCTTTGCCATAATATGAAAATTTCTTGTATGAAAACACACTTATTGATGAACTGGTTACAAGAAAGGACTACCTTCAATTGCTTCAAATGAAAATGAATATATTTCTATATATCTTACATAATAATACTTTACTCTTATTTACACAATTTACATATTGCAGGGGTGCATATTCATATTTTAACCTACCATAAAAGCAATCGATTTCAAAAGAAGTCTTATTCGTCTGGCACAACACATATATCACATATATATTATTATGCATAATGAAATTCTGGGAAATTCTGGTCTTTCACAGCAGAAAAATTTAACCTGGTAAAAGGCTAATAAGGTACAGTATATTTAGGTGTATAATTAGTCTAACAGTTATGAAGAAAAAATGTTAAAGAGAGAGTACTTTCTTTAACATTGTAATTATGACTCTTAGATGTACTAATCAGCTGAGCAAAGGCCTTAACAGTGATGTCTTCCAAATGATGTCGTAAACCATGCAGTGACTGTTATAATATGGACAGCTAGCCTAGATCTCTAAAATGATCACTTTTCTATACCCCAATCGACATCCATATTTAGAGTTTGACTGTTTTACTTCTGTTCAAATACTTTACTAAACTACATGTATTTATCATTTGCTTTAATAGCATTCAATTGTGCACATAATTTATGATAGTCACTCACATGGGCAGATCTACGAGGGGAGGGGGGGGTTTAGGGTGGGGTTAAACCCCCTAGAATATCACAACCCCTCTAATAAAGTGTTCAACCCCACCAAAATTTCGCTTCACCCCTCCTGTTGTGTGAAAGGCTTTAACCCATATGCCTAACCCCTGCCGAAGCTCACTGAGTAGTGTCCTTGCACCCCACCAGAAATTTCTCTACCCCTCCTTTTAAATAAATGAAAATCCACCCTTTGCCGCTCAGAATTTAAGTAAATTGTTTGGTGAAAGAAAAGTTATACAGTACCTCGTAGTCATCCATCACTAAAGTCTTCTGTTTTTCTCATGAGCCCATTGTATGATATGAGACCTGATACACTCTACAGAATTGGATTGAGTATAATTGTATATTATTACAGGGCTCTGTACATAGTAGGGCAGTTGCATTCCAAGTCGAATTATCAATGGTGATTAATAAATATATAAATATTGCCGATGGTTTTCTATCGGCACAAATATTTTAATTTGAGTTTTTTTGCATTTCCATTTATAATTTGTTTATTAAATTTTTATTGATAAATACAAATGACTCGAAACGTAGAATTAATTAAATCAAAATGTTATTCAGAGTTACTGTCCTTGTGCATGTATTTTATTAAAATCCACATTATACAAGTACTACAAGAGATTGGTGAAAAGCTTGACAAGAGAGTCCAAACCGACATCATCTACCTTGACTTTGCGAAGGCTTTTGATAGAGTTGATCATCATTTACTTGTAAGAAAGTTAAAGAAATTCGGGATTGGTGGGACTTTGTTGAAATGGTTTGAAGACTACTTAACCAATCATCACCAAAGAGTAACTGTCCTTGGCAAAACTTCACATTCTCTCCCAGTACTTTCTAGCGTGCTGCAAGTTTCAATACTTGGTCCTTTACTGTTTGTTATTTACGTGAACAATCTTCTGCAGGAAACATCTACATCGTCTATTGCTTTGTATGCTGATGATACTAAATGCTATCGTCCAGTTAGATCACATAAGGATGAACAATATCTTCAAAAAGACCTTGACGGTATTAACAATTGGTGTGAATCATGGCAGATGAATCTGAATCAATCGAAATGTGAAGTTCTTTCGGTGACCAGAAATCTGAAGCTAGTGCCGTCCAGCTATCACCTTAAGTACGACACTCTCATCAAGAGAACCAATACCCAGAAGGATCTTGGAGTGATCATCACTTCCGATTTGAAATGGAACCAGCATGTTTCCATGGTATGTGCCAAAGCAAGCAAAATGCTCAGCTTCATTAAAAGATCATCAATGGACATTCACAACGAGAAAACCCGCCTTGTGCTTTACAAGACAATGGTGCGAAGCCAGATGGCATATTGCACACACATTTGGTCACCACAGTCGGTATCACTTATCCTTCAAGTAGAAAACGTCCAACGTCGCACTACCAGATACATTTTATCACTGCCATTCTTGTCAGGAGTATCATACAAAGATAGACTTGTCAAAAGTGGTTTACTACCATTAACATACTGGCATGAATTCCTGGATATGGTCTACCTTTACAAAGCATTAGTTCTATCTAATGACCATAATATCCATGTAAAGACAACAGATCGGTTGACGAGAGAAAATGATGTAACAGCAAAAATTATATTACAAGTTCCTAGAGTAAACACTTCAGAACAGTTCTTACTGCAGATCACAGAGGACTTTGAATTGTTTACCATCACACTTACGGTAGTCAAATCTCTCAATCAGTCAATCTAAATGCTGCCTATTTAAATATTACCAAAAACTTGTTCAAGAGGTCTACGACATTGATGTTCCACAAACGTTTAAAACAGTGTGTGTAAAGTGTCATTTGTGTCATCCCTTGTCCAGTCTTTCTGTCAAACTGTGTTGTCATTAGTTGCTGTTAACCCAGTGGAAATATCACTTTGTCAGTGAGCATGTGAAATTTAAATTAAATTCCTTTTTTCGATCCACATGATTAGAATTGCTCAGGACCACATTAAATCAAATGTCTCAGTGATTAGCGCTTCTGAAGCGATATATCCACTGTGTCAACCTATATTTCAGTATTGCATTAGCAGGTTACCCGTAAAGGAGCAACTAGCTCTGTGGGTTAAACCGGTCATGTGACAAAGATTGTAAAATAAAAATAAAATAAAATATACAATACCTCTGCTAAAACCAATGCATTCAATGCTGCTTCTTTCGTCAAGTTGGGAAACAAGCTCTTCCATTTTCAATGCATCTATTTGGTGTTTTTTTAAATGAATTTTCACATTACCACCCCAAGTTTTTGCAGATTCTCTTATAACAATCACTGTTCTGTAAAAATGTCAATACAAAATTGATTATGACATGTTCAATATAATATGTAACATCACAAGCAAAATTAGGTTTTTACAGGCATATACTATCCTGTGGATCTAGGTAAAGGATACAAAGGGGAAATGTATGTATGAATACCATTCCGGGTGTATGCTGGGGGCAAGGGTACTATTCCACACAGCTATTTACACTGGGGGAAAGCATTAGTGAAGTCTAAAGTTCATCAATAATTCACGGGTGTGTGGCTATGATCCAAGTTTGCGGTAAAGGTAGATGGGACATGCTGTCAGCGTCAGCATGTGCAGTTGTACTTTGGTACTCAATCTTGTAATGGCATGAGGCTAGGATTAGTGTGCATCTTTGTAGTCGTGAAGCTGTGTGGGCCGGAACAGAACAATGTGGTCCCAACAAAGTAAGGAGTGGGTGATGATCAGTTAGGATAGTAAATGAATTACCACAGAGATATTGATGAAATCGTCCAAATATTATACTGAAAACTTCTTTCCCAAGCTGTGGATAATTACATGATGCAAATGCTATTGGTCGGTGTTTCCCATTAATGACATGTGACAATACTGCTCCTGCATCATAAGAAGCATCACATGATAAAACAAGAGGCAATGATTCATTGTAATGTACTAGTGTTCTCAGATTTAGCAAAAGATTTTTAGCTGCTGTGAAAGCTGCGTCTTCTGATTTAGTCCACTTCCAAGATTAATTTGTCTGAAGCAGATTATTCAGCAGTGCTAATACAGTGGAATGGTGTGCCATAAATTGTGAGTAAAACATCATAAGTTCTAGGGAGGGGGGGGGGGGCATCATGCACAGCTGCCAAGTTTGTCTTCTGTTGGATGGAGGCCAGCACTTGGGACAAAGAATTCAGATGATCTTCATAATCAGTTCCAGCAATAAGAATGTCATCCAATCTGCTAACAGCTTTCAGAATATCCACACCGGGTGAGCTTGAAAAATATGCCCGGCCAAGGTGGGATTCGAACCTACGACCTTTGGAATACTAGCCCAATGCTCTTCCAAATGAGCTACGCGGTCAGGATGGTTCGAATCCCACCGTGAAAAGGTCGTAGGTTCGAATCCCACCGTGGCCGGGCATATTTTTCAAGCTCGCCCGGTGTGGATATGCACTCAGAGTAACATCACAAACATATTATATGAAAATGTTTGAAACACATGAGAATGAAATTGGTTAAAAAGTTTCCAAGTGCATCGGTAAGTCAGAATTGAGGATGGCTGGAGGCTCGATTGTGTCAAGTGGAAAACGATATTTCCCAATTCGCTGCCAACAGATACCGTGGAATGTCCATTGCACAGGAATTCATCGAGGCTGGTGCTTCGCGTTTGAAGGTTTGAACCTGAAATCAAGACAAAAGATAAGCTAGGTGATTGTACGTCCCAGGAATGTGTTTGGCTTTAAATAAAATATTGTCGTTTAAACAAACAAGAACAAGCTTGCGAACAAAAACATCAATGCCTTGTCTTTGCATGGTTGCTTACTAATGACATGAACGAGTGCTTCATTATCCGTACAAAATAAAATGCTATGATTCGCCATCTTATGACCCCATAAATACAGACTCAGTACATGGTAGAATTCCAAAATAGCAATGTTATGGTGGCGCCAGTGATCGGGCCAGAAACTGTGGCAGAATTCAGTGCCAAAAATTACACCAAAACTGATGCCACCCGTTGCATCCGTGAACAAATTAAGTTTAGAGGAATTTTGCCATCTGTCATCAAAAAAGAATTATCGGCCATTAAATGTTGACAGGAAAGATAACCAAACATTTAAATCCTCTTTAGCCTTGCCATTAAGTTTTATTAGGTGATGAAAGAAATGGATGCTGTGGGTGAGATCGATCAGTCGACGCAAAAATGCCCTTCCTGAGGTGACGACTAACGGTAACTTTTTTGCGCCTCAAAAATTCGCTGATAAACTCAATGCATTTTTGCAGCTTATTGTGAGGTACAGACAGGAGTCATAAGAGGGCGTAATAAGCAAAAAATCATCAAGTAAATGTAAAATATAGTCGATATTGAGTTTGTGTTGAGCAATCTGTAGAAATGATGTCTGCAAACTAGCTGTTTAAATATGGCTCAAGCCGATTTAGATTGATTGACATTGGGAGCAGCACCTGACTTGGCAGAATTACGGGTTGGTCCAGAGGAGGAGTGGTCACTATGCATTGCTTCACATTAATATTCGGAATTGAACTTTGCGAGTCTTTGAGAGATGTTTGTCGAAAAATTGTGGTCTTCTATCGCGATTTTTCACTCTGAAAATTTTGATTTTTGGAAGGTACGTTTTTATAATTGTTTTATTTGTAACCTTAATTGCACAATTTTAGTTTTATGTGGTTGTCGTATCATGTTTCAGTTATGTTAATCACACATTGAATTACCCTTGGTTTCGGGGGACAGGGAACATGTTACAAAAGTGGCTCCGATACTCGCAGGGGGTTAAATACTTTTTAAATCAGGAAATTCAACAAAATTTACAGCCTCAAATTCAGAAAGGGTTATTCTTTCTATTGATACTTGAAAACACAAATAACCCCCTTCAACTGACGAGTTATCACAGTTTGAAAATGGGGTATATTTTCGGGGCTATAAAAGAAATAGTTTATAAATAGTTTGTAAATCGGGAAATTCAGCAAAATTCACATCGTTGAATTTGGGGAGGGTCACGGTTCCAGCTGATACTTTAAAACATTAATAATCTCCTCCAACTGACGAGTTATCGCATTTTGAAAATGGGGTATATTTCGGGTATAGTGCCATGACACGAAAACGGCCTTGATATATGCAGGGGGTTATTAGGTTTATAAATCAGGAAATTCAATAAAATTCACATCATGTATTCAGTAAGGGTTACTCTTTGTATTGTTACCTTAAAACATAAATAACCCCCTGAAACCTGTAAATTGTCTTTGTATATTCAGTGTAAAGCTGGAGTAAACATGAGCAACAAAATTGCTGCAATTTTAGGTGCCTCGCGAATTTAGATGCCTTGCGAATTTAGGGACCTCACGCATTTAGGGCCCCTAGGCTTGGCAGTTGGCCCCAGTAAAATATGCAATACTTGTATGCATGTAATCTCCAGTTGCACTGAACTGCTATATGGTCCTTTTTATACTTGTTGACCCAACGACTGGGCCAGACAGGCCAATTAATTCAGGTTATTTGTTGTGTTGGTGTAATGTACTCAGGTGAATAAGATGCTTGCGTGATGTTACTCTGAGTGTACATCCACACCGGGCAGGCCTGAAAAACATGCCTGGCCATGGTGGGATTCGAACGTACAACCTTTGGAATACCAGCCCAATGCTCTGCCAACTGAGCTACGCGGTCAGGTCTGTTCGAGTATGCAATAATTCAGGTTGTTCAAGCACCGAAATTAGCAATTAGATATAAAGGTTTCATTGATGTTTGAAACCAGTTTTAACACAACGAAAAATTATTCAGAAATCCTGGATAGCTTGGCTGCAAAATTGCGGTGATTTGCGGATAAAATTGAAAACAGTTATTTAACAATTTTGTGTGTCTTTGAATTCAAAGGTTTTCATAAGGAGGGGGGGGGTTGGGGGTCTCGCGCTAAAAATCTGCCACGGGCCTCGCGCAACGTTAATCCGGCCCTGCGAATAGTAATAGTTACAGCAATAGCATTGTTGTTCATGCATGCTTTTTTCGAATTGTTTAAACAATGGTCAGTTGACAAAGAAATGTTTTGCTTCAGTGAATTCAAATCTATTTTCTTTAGAATATCTGACATTTATACAGGGTGTATAAAAAAAAGTACACAGATTTGAAATTTGCTCTTAAATTCGCAAAACAGCTATTAGTATCCAGTTTTTGATGTATATAGCTTCTTCGGGTACTTATAATGTACAAAAATGGAAAAAATTTCTCGAACTCAAATTTTGTGAACCAGGGGGGGGGTGTCTCTCCAACAAACTAAAAATGGCTTGCGCAAGAAATTTAAAAGCTTTAATCATATTTTAAGTTAACAGATGGAATGTTTGTCGGGTGTTTAATTACTGTACAAAATTTCAGACAATTTGCTTCATTTTACGCCCTTTAACCATTCACACAAACTTACATTTTTTCTCAAAAAATCACCATTTGCATGCTAATTATGCCTTTGCCTAATTTGCATATGTTAGCAACATGCAAATTAGGTAAAGGCATTAATTAAGCATGCGAAAGGCTAAGTTTTTAGCGAAAAATGAATAGTTAAAGGCTTAAACTAAA